TTTTTTGAACCTTAAACCGCATAAACACATTTCATTACACCAAATACACAAAATAATGTTCTTTTTAGCAACATCATATGACCCCTTTAAAGAAAAAGGCTGACGTGACTGTCAAGCATTGTTTTGCCTTGTGGAGGAACTAAAGATGACGGATGCCACCTTGTGGTGAAACAAGAACAACTATGGGCTTTTCATGAATTCCTAGATACCAATATGATAGACTATTATATCAACAGATTGAATTAATTCACATTAAGGGCAACAATAGAACAGGCTGAGATACGTTCACAGTCTGGCGCAATTTAGAGTTTATTTGGAGTCTCCATAACCTCAGTTATAGCAAAGATAGACCTCAATAAATAAATACTATATACTTCTACATCACAGTTAAGATGTACAGTAACAAACGGAATAATGACATACTACCTTTACCTGTCCTTAAAAATAATAATAAAAAACAGAGGAAGAGACTGGTATACTGCATGCAGATAACTGCTCTGGAAAAAAAAACAACAACGGTAAGATATCAGTACATCATTTTGGCTTACTTCATGTCATTTACTTGCACATAAATTTGTTTTTGTGTGTGAAAACTTGAGCCATCCTTGTACTCATACAGTAGCTTCTCATTCCATGTGTTGTGTTACAAAATGGTTGTAATGAATTAGAAAATTTTGCCACTTGTCTCTTCTAGTTTGGCTTAACAATTCATAAAATAGAACAGCTGCTCCCTGTGCGATTTAATAAATTAGATTAAAACCAGGTTAAAAAAATGTCCCAGGTCTTCAAAATGATTAAAAGCAAATAGATGTTCAACTGAAATCCGCAGATGTGTGTTGGACATCCTCATCATCAACCACCAACCACCTATTTCCCCATTTTTTTTACTCAAAATGTGAAAAGCCAAGAGTCTTATGTATGTCAAACAGCAGTTGTCGTGATGCTCTCCGGTTCTAATAGTTCTAATACTTATCCATCCAGGGGTCTTCCCAGATACACCATAGTCACTTCAGTGTTCCCATAGACGGCTGACACAGCTGGAAACAGGCATGTTTTGGGCAGCCCTCGGAACGCCACTCCAAGGAACTCAAAATCTCGTTCAAAGGCTAGTGTCTTATCATCCATGTCTAGGATTACACGTATTCTCTCCCCCATCTGGAAAATAAATACAAGCATATTATAGATACTTCTTTTTTAAGGAAAACTTCATCATTTACTCTCCCTCCTGTTGTTCCAAACTTGTATGCTAGCATTTTTCCCATCAAAAGGAGGTGAGAAAAGGAGATGCAAAAATGAAAGTGAAAGTCGGAATTTGTGCTCTGCATTTAACCCACCCAAGTGCACACACACAGCAGTGAGTAGTGAACAAACGCACACACATACATGAACACACACCCGGAGCAGTGGGCAGCCATTTTTGCTGCGGCGCCAGGGAACATTTGGGGGGTTTGGTGCCTTGCTCAAGGGTCAAGGGTCTCACCTCAGTCATGGTATTGAGGGTGGAAGAGAGCGCTGGTCACTCACTCCCCCCACCTACAATCCCTGCCAGTACCGAGACTCAAACCCCGCGACCTTTGGGTTACAAGTCCGACTCTCTAACCAATAGGCCATGACTGCCCCTGGCAGTTGGAATTGACAGATTTCACAGAAAATCTCACAGGGTATGATAGGAACAGACATCAAACTGTTAGCTTCAGACATCTTATTCCATCTAGTCGGAGGATTT